CTTATGGATATTTTTAATAATATCTTAGGGTGAATGTGGTATTTAACTGTAATGTAATTATAAAAATTTTAGTAATTGAGAATGAACATACATATATATGCATATATATATATCTGATAAACATAGAAATATTTAGAAAGATATTTTTGAATTTGTGATGTTGAAAATATGTTTTTACTTTCCATTTGCTGACAAAGTTCTCAGTTCTAGTCTTTTGTTAAAACTTTATGCTGTTATTGGTGAGTTTTTTTTGGCAGTTTTGCCATATTTTTAAAAATAAATTAAAAAAATTTATGTGTTTGAGTGTTTTGCACTCATGTAAGTGGATCTATGTAAGTGCACCCATGTCATGCAGTGCCCATGGGGGCCAGAAAAGGGTGTTGGAGCCCCTAGGAACTGGAGTTACGGATGGTTGTTAGCCACCATGTTAGTTCTGAGAACTGAACTGGGTCCTCTGTAAGAGCAGCTGGTGCTCTTAACCACTGAGGCATCTCTCCAGGCCCAGCTTTCCCATATTTCCATGACTCTGTCTCAATCAAACAACTCCCAATATATGAATGTCAATGCAAACATCGTACACATTTAAATTTCATGTTAATACTTCCCTCCTTTTTTTTTCTATTAGAAAGACAGATGAAATAGTTCTGTGAACTCAATCTGCTGCCTTAGATGAGAATCTAAGGTTAACTGAAGTAGACTTAGATTTTCTAAGACATTACCTGACCATTTTTCATATGGACATTCAGGTACTCCCCACTGACACTGTGACCATGGACAAGGGTTCCGGAACTGCTTCTGGGACGGACTTCAAATGCAATTTCAAACTTCAATCCAATATTGAAAGACTCATCTGTGGAGGAAAATACTATAAGTTTCCAAGAAGAGCAAAATAAAAATTGTACCTATGGTGTGATTTTGTAATTATGTATTTTTGTATTTGTTTCAAAGTTATCAACAGGTAAGTATAAACTGCCACTTTCCAAGTCTAACTCAGCAGGGAAAACTCTATGGGGGACTAAGATAACACATCACTATTGTATGGGGCTCAAAGATGTGGACAGCACACTACAAATATTCCATATGAGAAGAGAGTTCAGGGGTAGAGGGAATCCAGTTAGCACAACATTTACTTCTTGCAAGAGTGGGGAGGAGGCCAGCACGATGGCTCAGTGGGTAGATCACCTGCTGTGCAAGCCTGGCCACCTGAGCTTGGTTCTTGGAACATGTATAAATGTGGGAAGAGAGAATCATTTCTACAGTTGTCCTCACCCCACATCATGCACACCACAATAGTAATAATAGGGGCTGGAGAGGCAGTTTAGTGGTTAAGAGCATGCACTGCTCTTCCAGAGGACCCAATTCCCAGCACCCATATCTGGTGCCTTACAAGGCCCGTGACTCCAGCTCCAGCCTCCAGTCTCTGTGGGCACTTGCACGCATGTGCACATACCCATACACAGACATACACATAATTAAAAAAATTAAAAGCAATAAAAATAGCCAGGCACAGTGGAGCACGCCTTTAATCCCAGCACTGGGGAGACAGAGGCAGGTGGGGCTCTGTGAATTCAAGGTCAGCCTGGTTTATATAGTGAGTTCCAGGCCAGCTGGGGATACAGAGAGATCTTGTCTCAAAAAAAAAAAAACGTAATAAAAATAAAAAAGAGTGAGGACAGCAGGGCAAAGGATGGAATTTGAAGACACACACATCATATACCCATAATTACAAAGAATGAGAAGGCAGGAAAACTTGGGCAGATGCTGTAATCTGAAGCCACATACAGAAGCTGGAAAACTTGGAGAGTCCTATAAAGGCCAGTGTGTCTGGATGGTTCTGCAAGATGAGATGAGGCATGGAGGCTGGGGAGCAATACCTAGAGGGACTTTATTTTGTGATCATCCAGGAAGGGATTTCACTTGCTCAGATCTGTATTATAAAATAATTTTAAAACAAAAAAATCAACTGGTGCTAGTATTTAGAAGCTGTTATTTGGGTGACCTAAGATAATGCTTATTAAGAATAGCTGTGGGACTACAGAAATGGCTCAGCAGTTAAGAGTACACACTGCCCTTCCAGAAGACCTGAGTTCAGTTCCCAGAAGCCACATTAGACTGCTCAAAACTACCTCAAACTCCAGCTCCAGGTGCTGACACCTCCTGTGGCCTCCACAGGCACTGTACTCATGCGCGCGTGCACACACACAAAATCTTAAAACAATACCCCAATAGTTGTGTTCATTACGGAAAGCTTATGGAAACCCTGGGCATCTTAATAGTGTTTACTTGACATATTTCCTCATAAATCATTTAAAAAATTTCCTCATATTAGTTAATGTTCATGGAATAGAACATAAATTATACAGTTAGCTATGCATTTCAAACTGCCCAGACTTTTAGAATTCTTATTATTGAAATTCAGTAAAGGACTAAGAACTCTAAGTGCAGGTTTTAGTAGGAGTAAACGGAAGGGAGGCAGGGAAGGAAAACAAATCCTGACATAGACAGAGAGCGATCGATCACCTCTAGTTAGGGTCCACCATACACAAGTGGGTGCTCAAGAGAGTGTATTTGGCTACATTATAATTTACTAGAGATTGTGCAAAGTGCCTAATGGTTGTTCCATAGAACATGGTAGAGGGATTGGATCATTAAGAAGGATTAATTCTTTATATTTATAAGATGTTTGCTCCAGCGGGTTAGAAGGTGGTTGTGTTATAGCCTGTTAAGATATTGTTTATTCTTAGAGCTATTATATCCCATCATCTGGCACAGGGGCTGCCATACAGGTGGCCTGAAATAAAAACTGTCAAATGAATGAGCAGGACAGTAATGGTTGAAGGGACTGAAAATCCAGAGAAAAGAATTCTGAAGGACAGTGTTGTGCTGGGGTTGCAGAGCAAGTGGAGGAGTGGAACTTCTTTTAGCAGGGCCAAAAGATCATGCTACTGAGGAAGACTTAGAGGACGAAGGTGGTTAAGAGCTAACGTAGATCAGGCCACAGAAGAGCTTGGGGGTTCTAAGGGAGTCAATATGGTCTAGAAGCTTGGAAGCTGTGGGGAAAGTCTGGCCAAGGAGAGCCAACAGGAATAGGTGCTGCATATTTGGTTTGAAACAGGAGGAGAGATCAATGGTCCTCTAAGAAAGAGATTATCTTAGACAGCTAAGCTTGGCATTAAATTTCAGCTTTGGGCCTGATATTGCCTGTTAACCATCTCCAGGAAAAAAAAAATCATGATTTGTGTTTTTAACATAAATCATTATCTTAGTCTGTTTTCTGTTGCAAAAACATGATATCTAACACTGAGTGATTTACAAAGAAATAAGGTTTATTTAGCTCACATTTATGGAGGTTTGAAAGTCTAGGAGTGTGGTGCCAGCATCTGGTGAGGGGATCTTATGGCAGAAATGGAAGATCAGGTGGACACGTGTGCAACAATAGAGCAAGGAGAGAGGTGCCAGGCCTTCTTTACAGCAACCCACGCTGGTGGTGACTAGTTCAGTAATCTTTCTTAATGACTGAATTACTCTTGTAGTCTTCTTAACGATGTTACATTGGGAAATAAACTTTAACATGAGTTTAGGTGGGGATAACCACAATCAAACCTCAGCATCCCATTACCTAGAACCACGTATCCTCCTTCTGTTGAAAAGTAAGTTCCTGTTTCCATTGGACCTTCAAAACAAGGGGTCACACTGAACGTTTGAGAAGCAGAGGTGATGGAGGCACCATTGAGCTGGAGATTGCCAAGACAGCCACTGAAACTGTACACTGAGTTAATCTGAAAGAAGAAGATGTTGCTTAATATCCATTTGCCCAGCACTCAGCTACATGGAAAAACAGAATGAGAGGGTGTGAGAGGCTTGAGAGGAACAAAGAAATTCCTTATGTTAGCTATACGAATGATGGATATTTTTCCAGGTAGTTGCTCTTAACTCAATCATTGAGGCTGGAATTTTGTATTTGGTAACATCACTTTGTAGTAATTAAGCTATGGAAATGTTTCTAGAGATCATGACAAATACGTTGCAGCTGTGGTTTTCTAATTGAATATTTGAAGTCTTATCATCTGTTTTCCTTCAGGAAAGACAGCAGGGCCCAAGATCACTAATATGGATGTAAGTTCTATATAAACAGAAGAAAGCTTTTTCGACTTCATCAGCTTTTAATAAAGTTGAGAGTTTATCATAATAAGACATGAAAGTTGGGCACTTTAGACAAATAATTTCTAATAACATTTGGAAACTGAAAAAGATTGTCATGGTATTGGAGCTGCTTACCTAAAGTCTAATTATAATTTTTATTTAAAAATTTAACACTTCAAAATCTATGTATGTTAATGGATTGTAGAAATGTATTAACACTTTGTGATAAAATAAAGTTGACATTTGTGCTAAGAAAAATTTAGTCCTTTGATACATTCCTTTCATTGCTAAGTATTTTTAAATGAGTAATAGTTCTAATTTTTAAATTGCAATAATGTTTCTTATACTCTCATCTCTCCTTCCTCCAATACCCACATTCCTTGAACATTTAAAAAATTGTGTTTGTGAAAGAAAATAAAATGGAATTGTATTTCCATGATGACCTGAAGCTTTTTCCACATAGTAATGCAATGGAATGACTTGTTCTCTGGCTTGGGTATCTCTTTACATTAAAATGATAGGTACTCATAGACCTAACAAGACCTCCCAGAGACATCACTTTAATGATAATTTATATCTCTGAAACTTTTCTTATCTCATTTATTTGAAAATCAAAAGATGACTCCTGACTTTGTAATGCCCTGAGGCAGACAGAAAGCCCACAGGACAATGCCTTGATGTTCCATCTCCACCAAGCTACATCTTTACTCTCCTTAGTTTCCTACCCTGTAAAATGGGATTGGGAATCTGTGATCTCTGGGTTTTAAGGCCAGTGGCTCTACTTCGCCATGCTTGGCTTACCTGGACATTTTTCACAGCCCTTCCAGGAGCCACTCCTCCCAAATAAATAGGACCCTTGATTTTCCAGGCAGCTCCACTAGAAGGAAGGCTTTCTTCTAGGACTCGCAGACCATCAATGACCAGTCGGCCACTGCTCTTTTCCCGAATAAATATCACCTGGATGGACAGAAGAAAACAGCATTTCTTCGGCATGTTCCAATATTGGGGAAAGGCTGTGTTGTGGGCCCTCCCAGCCCTGCCATTGCAATGCTGTGGAGAAGCTGAAGGAAGTTCACACAAACATGCCCATCTCTGAAGGTCAGCACTTGTCTTTCGTTTGCTTAGTGGGCTTCTGGATATATAGCTTTTGGAATGTGAGAAACTTTGATCCTGTATTTGTTGCACAGCATATGTCTTTATTGTGAACTGTCTCTAGGCCATCTTTATACATAATGGTGTGGTTTTCCTGGCTCTTCTTGGGTTTGCTACTTCATGTATTAGAGCAAGTGCTCATGTATTTTCTGATCCTTAGATTGAATGACTTAAAGCTATAGGTAAAAAAATTATTTTTATTTTATGTGTATGAGTATTTTGCTTGAATGTATGCATGCAATGTCTGTGGAGGTCAGAAGAGGGTGCTGGATACCCTAGGACTAGAGTTGTTATCTGCCATGTGGGTGCTGGGAACCCAACCTGGGTCCTCTACAAGAGCAGCCAATACTCTTAACTGCTGAGCCATCTCTCTACTCCCAAATCCATAGCTTTAATTTCTTAGTACAGGTTATATATATTTTTTAACTTCTACAAAAACTTTATTGAGAATTTCATACATGCATATAAGGTGTTTTGATCAAATCCATGCCCACTCTCTCCCCTCCTACACTCCCCCATTTGAAGAGGTAACCCTAAAATCTTTTAAGAATTAGATAAAAGCTTCCAAATACTTTTGACACTTTTGGCCTTTGGAACAGAGTGCGTTGCTAACAGGCCCAAGGACATTTTGACTTTTAGCCCAGAAACTGGCTACATTTCTTTGGGGTCTTTTTACACTAACTGCCTAGACAATTCCTACCTCCTGTTCTTATCACACCATCCTCTGAAGGGGTTACCCAAATTGCCAATAGGGAACTAGGGGTGCAGACCGCTCTGGCTTCTTCCATGCTGAACAGGGATATAGGGTGAGGCAATTGGAGTACCCCTTCAGTGGGTCTATCTAAAAGACTCTCAAATTGCATAACTCTTGTCTCTAAGGAGAGAAGAAAGTCGGTTCTTTATGCAGTTCTTCCTGGCTGACAAGCCCACATGCTCTTTCCCTCTCTCTCCAGGTTCTCATAATCAATTGTAACACATCTTGCATTGCTTACTCTTGCTACCCCATACCTACAGGTTACTTTTGATATTAGGGGGGTCCTCTTGTATAGCCTATCTCCCTAAGTGGTTTATTCACTTTTTGCCTTCTACAGATTACCCTATAAATGACATTTAGGAATAGTTGATAAAAATAATGAACCTATCACTAGTGGGGAAAAGGTGATAATTCATTAGAAACCAAATCAGCTTATGCTGATTACTGGACTTTTGGTTAAAATAATTATACTCAGGCTGTAATTAACTAAAAATATGTTTTGAGATTTTTAAAATAAGGAATTAATGATACCTCTGCTGCTTAGCAGCAGAATTTTATCATGATTATTTCTGCCAAGACCAGTGGTAGAGAAGCAGCACTAATCCCTTGGGCAATGGCTAATATTTGCTGACAATGCTATTTGTTGCATTCAACTTACATCATGCCACAACCCGTCATTGTATTTCTCTTGGCTTCTAATCTTCAGTTTCTTGTGGCCGACATTAAACATGAAGACCAAGCGACCATGGGCCAAGAATAGAGTCATGAAGTCATTCTCTTCTTGATCAGAGACGTAAAAAATCATCCCATGGGAGGAACGCGTTTTTAGACGAATGGAAAACTGAGATCTGGTAAATGAAAAGTTACTATACATAAAATGAAACTGAGAACAATCTTTAACTTCTCAAAGTAATAAGTACAAGGAAGAGCTCAAACAGCTTTTTTCCTTACTATTAGCTAACAAATATTGGGTAAGCATGGCTATGTTAAAAATGTAAATTCTTCTTTACCATCTTATACAACAGGGGTATGTCCCAAATTTAATAAAGTTTTGTCTTGGTTAAGGATCTTATGGTGTCTTGCTTTGAAAATTAGTAAACAGGACAGACTGTAAGAGCCAAAGGTGGTGAATGACTACAAGGAATCAGTGTTTTCCAGACAGCAGGGCAGTTACTTGTAGAAATTCAGAGCAACTGTGTTAGCAAACACAAGACCTATGTAAGCTCAAGCCAAATTCCCAGCATAGAGCTGGGTGTGGTAGGGGTGAAGGTGGGTAAGAAGCCCCAATGGTAACTGAGAACTATTGGCAACTGATAGCTGTTGGGAGAGAGGGAGTCAGTTTTCCCTAAGGGTGTGATGTTGGAGAGGTTGGCCAGGCTCCAGGAGATGGACCCATACTGAAGGGCATTTGGGGACTCAAATTAGACTTGATAGACCTTAAAAAATACAGATCCTTGTATTTACCGACAAGTATACCGTATACCACTCATCAAAGCAGCTTCTTTTTGCAACAGATGGATGCTGCTACAGAGTTCTGCAACTGGTCACACACAGAGAACATATGTCTGAGAGATGCCCAGTCCTAAGTGACACATCTACAGTAGAACCTCTATACCTAAGGCTCATGGAACATAGTGGAACAGGGGGTAGAGAGAATACTAAATATCTCTTAACTCTCACCAGTGAAGCCTCCTCATACAACAGAGTGAGATGCACACAGAAAGGCACAACTGGCTGCTTGGCTATGTTTTAGAGAATTAGAGACTGCAGAGTGTGTGTCCCTTGCTAGGACTCCTATATTAAACCTCATCTATGCCCATGGCTCAGGGACCATTGTGGAAGAGCAGGTGGAAAGAGTGTAAGAGCCAGGGTTGTTATATAAACATAAGGAAACAGGCTTTCAGGTGACTGGGAACTTGCTTATATGAACTTGCAACAACGGTGACCACATGTACAAGACCCATGCTGACTCAATCAGACAAAACCCCACAGCATAGAATGAAGGAAATGGGCAGCAGGCCCCAACCCTAGTCGAAGAACTATTGGCAACTGCTGGTGAATATAGATCTTTTTTAAGGGAATGACTCTAGATAGACTGATTAGACACCAGGGGATGAATTTGCACCAAGGGATATCCGGGTACAAATGCTTGACTGGATAGGACTTAACATACATGAAAGAACTCATGAAATCCAGTGGAGGGGTTATGGAGGGGCATGAATGGGAGAAGGGCTCTAAATTTGATTAAGATCTATTATATGAAATGCATAAAAACTCAAAAAAAATTTTTTTTAATTAAAATTTTCAAATGAAACAACTTAGCATATAAAAAATTGAGGACATGAAATCAGGGAAGGGAGAGTGGATAGGGGAGGGTGTCTGAACATGATCAAAATACTTTGCATGAAAATTTAAAAAATTTAATAAAAACACTTATGAAGAAAATTAGTGAACACTAAAATCCTGTATTAAATTAGCTTATCTCCGTGGATGAGTACTAATGAGTAATTAATATACATATAGGAAATTGCACAGAAATAATATTGCTTGTATAATACACAGATATATTATTAGAGATTTGTGAAAGACTGGGAAGAAGTGATGAGGCTTGAGATAGTTGGAGGGTCCTGACTACACATGCATTTGAATTTTCCATAACTAGCAGTTTGGGTGCATTTTCATTTACAGTCTGCAAACAGCTTGTGTGGGGAGGGAAGGTGATCTCATGATGGGCCACTTGAAACTCTGTGATTAAGATGGCATCGAAAGGAAAGATAGGAAAAGGGTGTCCCGTGGCAAACAAAGATGGAGCATGGCATTAAGTTTCTGGAAGCATAGTGTGGTACTTTACTTTTCGCCGAAGTCTCCTTGTAAGTGTTCAAACTCTTGGCGGCTGTTGGCTGTCCCTCCGTATTGATAGGCATGCTTTATTGCTTTGGGGCGGTTGGAAAGGTGACAGTGAGAGTCTCTTGGAGCATTCTGCTCTAGAAATTTCAGGCCAACAGGATCCCATGAAGGCGCATCCTTACTTTTCTCTCCCTGTAGGAACAGGAACCAAGTGAGGGTATTGAGAGAGAAAAGTGATGTAACCAGTGACAAACATTAGTTTGTGAGGTCCTTGTCCTTAATAATAATGCAAATTTAATAAAGTGGCTATTATTTGGCTCTTACTAGTGGCATGTATTCCATTCATGACATGGCAGGATCCTCTCTTCTTTCTCTTCATCACCATAAACAAGTGATAGCGACAATAACAACACAGTATGTTAACAAACCTAAAATTCTAGTCTGTGATTGTAAAACAGCATGAGCGTGAAGCTATTGAGATATCCACTATCATTTAAATTAAGCTCATATCTTGAATAATAGCAAAACCTGGAAAAAGTTGGCAATAAAGTAACCCTGAGAGAATCAATCAATAAAACTCTCACATAGGCAAAAATAGCACATCAGCACACAGGATTTTTATATATGTTGTGTAAAAAGTCAAGAAACATCTTGAAAATATTTAAGATAATTTTTGGTTATTACAGGATACACAGCAAAATTTTATGTTACAGAATGGCTACAATATTTTAAAATATAACTTTAAATAATTTTCTCCTTTAACAACTTCATACATGTATAACTTTTAAACATTATATGGTGCTGCTGGGTGTGCTGATGCACACCTTTAATCCCAGCATTTGGGAGGCAGAGGCAGGCATATCTCTGTGAGGTCAAGGCCAGCCTGGTCTATACAGTGAGTTATATAGTAAGTTCCAGGCCAGCTGGGGTTACAGGGAGACCTTGTCTCAAAAAGACCGAAAAAAAACCCACCAAAAAACAAAACAAAACAAAACAAAATTATATGGTGCCCTTCAAATTGCCCTGCTGATGTTAAAATGTAGTGTTGTGAAACTATAGGCTAATATTTAATGATTAGTCTTAATTTCTGAAACCAAAAAGTGCAAATAAATCCAAGCATTTGATCATTTATTCACGTATTCAGTCAAAGATTTATTGAGTATTGGATTGGGAGGGGTGGAGAGGAAATACATGTTTTACATGCCTTCTGTGGGTAGTACATGGTGGGAAATGGAAAGGTGAGGGATGATGATTACTGGTTTTAAAGGAACAGGTGTGTAAAGAGAAGCTGAGAGTCAGGTTGGGGACAGACAGGATTTTGAATGAGGTGCTGGGGGCTGAATTTTATTTTTAGGTGGTGAGGATCCAGCCAGGTTTTGAAAGCAGGAAGTGGTGAGCTCTGAGCCTCTCAGAAAGATTGCTTGCAACCAAGGAAGCTGATGGGAGAGGAAATGTTTGGCAGTGGAGAAGGCTGGAGAACCTAGCAAAAGATAGGTAAGTTTAGGCAATGAAAGATGACTTTTGGTTCAGTATTATGGAATGAATCCACATATTTTTGTTTCCCCACCCCTAATTCTTGCAGAAGTGTCAGATCTATACACATAAATCCACAGTGGTTCTAAAACTTGAGGAGGGTTTCCACTAGCAGAACAAAGCAGTGTGGAAGGTGGAAGATACAATGCAGATTGGAAAGAACAGCGATGAAACTCTTAATCTCGTATGAACAAAGAAAAGACCTCTAAAAAATTCAGTGCCATCGCTAAGCCATGGAATTATTCTCAGAGTCCAGATATGATGGCGTACTAATGAATTAAAGGGCAGATGGACTGTGTCAGTGCCCTGATCCCAGGGTGACAGCTCTTTCAGGTGAGTGCTGGCAATGGAGATTCTCACAGTGGTGGCTGGGTTGGAGAAGGGAGATGGGGCATCAAAGACCAACAAAATATCTACAGAGGGCAGCTTTTTCTTTCGGAAGGAGGAAATCCACCCTTTTATCCTTAGTTTTGGGCCCAGGCCCTCACCTACAAATGATAGCTGTAGTTTCAAGCCAAGATTGACCGGAAGGGACTGGGGTGAGGCAGTAGAAAGACTCTTACTCTTTAATATGCCCTGAGACATTTCTTCCAAACTCATGCTACATTCCCATCTTGTTGGAATCGCACAATGGGAAAGATGAGCATCTTTGGTTCACTGAGGGGACCTGATGGAAATGTTTTGCAGAAGGCCTGGAGAATCGGTGTGGACAGGGGTTAAGGATTTCTCCTAATTCTGCTTCTCCCTATCTTCTTGTTTCAGTGGAAGGGATCTTACTCTTTTGCTTAAGGAAGAACTGGAACTGGACTCTACAGACTGAGCAAGCATGGGGCTGCTGGACCTTAACATTCTCAGCCGACCAGTGATGCTGTACTCTGCTCCAGCCTGGGAATACATGGATGAGGTTGGCTCCCTCTCTTCTCTGCTTCACAATTTAACAAATTTAACGAAAGCTGAGATCTTTTTGTATGGCAAACAAACTTTCTAAATTTTCTGTGAATATATGTTCTTACTAATGAATTAAAAAGTCAAGCTATAACTGAATTACTTCACTAAAAATACAGAGATTCAGTTCACTGCTTTAATGGGCACGTGTGTGGAGATTCTCACTGAACTCCATCAGATTTTGATTTCATCAGGGTAACTTTTTCTCTGATACAGGATGAGTCCCGATGCTCCTGGTGGTACTGACTTTAATTCAGTATAATTCCTTTATGTGTGTGAGATAATAGCAAAGCTAGTTGAGCTACCAAAGAGAAAGAAGGGGTATGGATAGGGATATGGAGATTTCTCACACAGTCTAGAGAGGGTATAGTACAGCAGGACCCCACCAGGATCCTAAAGCAGGAATTTGGAAAACTAGAAAGAATACAGGTAACTTCCTTTCTGGAGGTTTCTAGTACCTTGCTTCTCTTCTCAGGTCTGTTTTTATTTTTTATTTTTTCTGCAGGACAGCTTTCTGGTTTTCATACTTTCTATAAAGCTGTTTTCTTTCTCTATGCATGATTAAACACAGAGTCCTAAGGTTTACATGCTCTGTAATTAATGACCCGAACAGGCTAGTCTCTCTGATTCCCATCCTGAGGAAGAGAATTTCATAGTCCAGCTCAGCACATGATAGACACTCAGCTAATCATCTATATCCAGGGAGACAGATGTCACGCTCCTAAACCAGAGGATCTGCCTGGTGGGTAGGGAGTCAATTCTCAGAAGAGAGTGGTTGAACAGCTACCTACAGTGATTCTATTACAATACATGCACTATTCATTATGATGTTACAAACCAAATTTTCCCAATTAAGTTTAAAACAAAACTCTAAAAAAATCTTTTAAGCTTACGATATAATTTTTGGGACAGGTATTCTCAAATACCCATGGGGAAATGTAAATCAATGTTACCTTTTTGGGAAAGTGATTTACCTTGATCCAGTAATTCTGCCTCTTGGAATGTATCTTAAAAATGTATTCAGCTATGTCTCAAAGACTTACATAGAAGGATCTTCACCCACAAAAGGAAATAACTGTAAACAACTGAAAGTTTGTTAATTTAATTGAGTAAATTATAGTAAGTGTGTGAATGGACTATTAGAAAGTGATATGTGAAAATAAATTATTGTCAAGTCTCATCTTTAAAAATATTTTATTTATATTTTAATTTTATTTTATGTGTATGAGTGTATTGCCGGCATGCATGCAAGTGTACCCTTGTCTGTCATGCAGTGCCCACAGAGGTCAGGAGAGGGTATCAGATCCCCTGGAACTGGAGTTACAAATGGTTGTTAGCCACCATGTGAACCTAGGTCCTCTGCAAGAGCTCTTAATTGCTGAGGCATCTCTCCAGCCTTGTAATCCTCATCTTTAAAAAAATATATTTTATTTATTATTATTTTATGTGTATGAGTATATTGCCTGCATGTGTGAGTGCACCCATGTCGTGCAGTGCTGTGGAGGTCAGAATAGGGTGTCGGATTCTCCTGGAACTGGAGTTTAGGATGGTTCACAGACGCCATGTGGATGCTGGGACTCGAACCCAGGTCCTCTGCAAGAGCAGTCAGTGCTCTTAACCTCTGAGTCATCTCTCCAGCCCCAATCCTAACCTTTTAATGTAGACTTGATAAAAGTCATGACCCATGCTGGGTAAAGGCTTCCCAGTGTGCATACCCTCAGGTCATATATACACCTCAGCAACCCCTCAGTTATCTCGGTAAGTAAGCACAATAAATTCATTGGTTCCCCAGTAAAGCTTTAATCAAACACTGGCTTGACACTAGGACCTTAAAAGGGAATAAGCATTGCTTAGGATACCCAGGAAAAGAAGTTTCACAACCAATAGAAAATTTATTTGTTAAATGCTATTATGTCTCAAAATTGTTTAAAAAAAAAAAGATAAACTGGCCAACTGAATGACCTTAAACACCCAAAAAGGAAAGTATAACCAAAGATTAAAGGGGCCAATAAAATTTTTTAAGAGTCCATATGTTTAGCTAAAGGCTACATAACAAGAAACAATGCCAGATAGGAGATACCTTCTTTTGAGTTGTTGGCCAGTGTGGCCCAAGGGACTCCTAGATAGTAACCCAGCATAGAACTGGGAAAATGAACAGCAGACCCCAATCTTATCTAAAGGAATATTGACAGCTGATTGCTGCTAGATGAGGAACAGCTGACCTTCCTAAAACAAAGACCTCTAGATAGGCTGACTAGATTCACCAGATGGACAAGTAGTGGGGAACGGATGGGGGTGCCGACCACACAGTGGACAGTAGCAGGGATAACAGTATAAGGACTCTAGTGGGGGGAGGGAGACTATGGGAGGGTGCCATCTGGGAAGTGGGTATATAGTCGAATAAGATGGTTTGGGATGTTCTGTGTGATATACACACAAAAATTCAACAAATTAAAAAAATGAGTTATAATTGAGGAGGAAGCATAAAAATTTACATCATGTGTAGTAGAGGTGATAAACATTACCATTGAAATCTACCCGATGACTTTATAGGCATACACATGTGCCAAAGAGCCGAGTGCAACCAACCATGATTAGTAATAATCAGATACATACAGATTAGAGATGCATGCACCAACATCTAAGTGTTATTAGCAAAAACAATGAGTCTTTCTGTAAGAAACAGTATATTTTAAAATGAAACAGTTTTTT